TGTTGCTTCAACAGTCTATACCAATGGTGGTATAGTTAGAGGCTTCATACCAGGGTACATAGCAGCACGACAGGTCTACGGACCTACGTATGGTGCAGAATACACAGTTTCAAGCAATTACTATAAGCATTTCGAGATGAATCATGTAGTGGAGGCCTTCATCGTACTTCCTGGAGGGATTGATACTATGGAAGGTTTGTTCACTTTGATCTCATGGGCATCTGAAGGGTTGCACAGTAAACCCATTGGTCTCTTGAATATTGACGGTTTTTTTAATAACCTAATCAAATTTCTAGATGACGCAGTGAGGCAGAACTTCATGGCTTCTAGTCAGAGAAAACTTTTCATCTCTTCTTTCTTTATTGATGAGCTTTTAGACAAGCTAGCGTTTGCTAAAGCTTTTCCGGGTCCTGGGGCTAGTTATGACGAATTTACAAATCCTGGGAGATTGGATTTAGAGTTGCATTTGTAATATTACTTCATGTAATCCCAGTTCTATTTGTGTTGGAATAATATTGTCTATGAACATTATGAGTTAACCACAAATATTATTCTAAGCTGCATGGCCAGTACAAGTCAGAAAAAAATATTTATTTTCAACATCAGAATGCATCATGTAAATATCAAACATTTTCTCAAGATGGGTCAAATGAAAGATTTCATTATACTAGGTGCAAATACGAATATTTTTGGGATACAAATTGGAAGATGTTTTATCTTTTACAAAGAGTTATCACTATTATAAACATTCATTCTTCAATACATTCTCGGACTTTTTCTTGACGATAATTTGACATTACAGGAGCATCATTCTTGGCTTCAAGTGCTTTTAGAACATTGACTTCTTCCTGAACGAACAGATTGATTTTGAATAGAAGTAATCGAATATGGTCCAGGGTTAGTGGGACATTCCCTTCGGAAATGTCCAGATTTGCCACAACCTAGACATAATCCTTGCGTAAACCGACATTCTCCTGGATGGTGTCTTTTACAAATATTACACTTTGGATGTTTCCATACTCTCATTTTGTTTATGGATGTCGTCGTTTGATTTGTCATTGACTTTCCCTTTTTCGAGTGTAGGGCACTTTTGATTTCTTGCAAGGGTCTCTTCCGAGTGGTATTTGGTCGTACATTTGAATTGGCATTCTCAGTCTTTAGACTTTCATAGTAATCACCTAAATCCTTTTCAGTTTGGAGATTAGGTCGTATGCCTCAATAAAATCCATAGTTTGAATAGTAGATACGTGCGGCCTGAGATCAGGTCGAAGTCTTTTGCGAAATTCTTCAATGCGGTCAGCCACTGTACTTACCAGCGTAGGTGCAAATTGAGCGAGATGGACAAATCTTTGTCGGTATTCAGGGAGTGTCATATCTCCTTGCTTCAATTGAATAAATTCAGCACGCTTCTCTTCACGGAATCCGGCTGGGATATATTCCTTTTTGAACTCCCAATCGAAGAATTCCCAAGTCCAAGGTTTGGGTGTGTTTGGATTTTCGTCAGTACGTTTCCACCATTCGTAGGCTTCCTTGCGGAGCAATTGAGATGCAAATTTCGGATGATCAACGAGAGGTATGTTCAAATTTTGTAGTACACGAGCGGTGTGCTCGATCCATTCAAGAGCAATTTGGAGTTCGGCAATTCGATCTCCCAGAAACTCCTCAGCACCATTATCTTTCAAGGTTTTGAAAGTGATCAAACGAGGTTGTGGTGGAGGTGGTTGAAACACAGGGGCATTAGTCATTTGTTGTAAGAAGTTTACCATTAAGGTAGGTAGCATAGCGTCAGGTTGATCTCCAATATTTTGATCATTTTGGGGAACATGTAGTGAGTTCACTTGTTCATTTTGAATAGGAGGTGTGAAAC